GTATTCTCAAGGGTTTGAAATTAGCAGATAACCATGGGTTTTTGCATAAAATGTGCAGTGGTGATAACCTATAGGTTATTACGTGGAAATTCTTCTCTTTCTGCTTATTAATGTGTCTGCTGCCATTATCCCAAGCCTTGTGTGGTGGAAAAAGGGAGATATGCAGGAAACACATCACATGCACTGCTGATTAGAAATGGGAAACGGAGCCCTGGCAGGCTACACTTGGGTCTAGATGTTGGTTTAAAGGCTTATTTGCTGTGTGACCTTGTAAAAATTAACCCTGAACATCATGTTCTCATTTACAAAACTGACTTGTTTGTATTTCAGAGTATATTGGGAGGATTAGAAATGTTTTATATAAAAAGTACCAGGCACATTGGACTCACATCATATATGCAGCATTTATGATTAGAACAACATGAGATTGGCCAAACCAAATAGAGAGTGAGCAGGAATTCATTTAGATTGTGTAATCAAATGTACAGTTACATTTTCAAGCACAATTACTTGATTGTGTACTGTGTATTACCATTTACATTTTAAATTTATACATACATGCCACAACATAGTTTATATACACACAACCAGCTTCTATCCTTTCTGGGTTATTTGAAACATTTTCAAAGGTTATTTACACTATAAATGAGTTTTGCCCTTAGACACAACGTTAGAATTTTATACCCGATGGTGGAACATGTAAAGGATCTAGCAAGTGCTCACTAAATGATGATTAGAACCGGCACAGTCTTTGTGTGAACCAGCTTTCAGTTTCTTCTGTGTTCTGCAACAAAAGAAACCTCCCTCCCTTAGCCTCATTTCTTTCTCCCATTCGTATTTGTCACTGCCCCTTCCACTGCTATCCTGGGGACTGATCTGGTGTTTCGGAGCTCTGGGCACTAGGCAGTGTTAGTTATGACCCTCTTCTTCTCTTCAGAAAGCCCATCTCTCATAAAATTAATTCTGCCTCAGCCCAGGAGTCCCAAGTCTTAAGTTCAAGTTCTAGTTTCCCCTGGTCTCAGAGCCTTGTGTCTGTACAGATGCTCCTTGACTTACGATGGGGTTATGTCCCAATAAACCTATTGCAAATGGAAACCATTACTCAAAAATGCATTTAGTAGGGCCGGCCCGGTGGCGC